GCTGGTGCTTGCATGGCACTAGGATTGAGGTATGCAGGCACTGCTAATAAGAACGCTTTCAAGACTTTGTATAATTACGCTCAGATGTTTACGGCATTGTCACACAAAACTATAGCCGAATTGGCTGGCAAATCCACCGTTGAAACGTGTCTAAACGTTGTTCTGCTTTCAACTGCAGTGGTAATGGCGGGTACTGGTAATTTAGATGTAAGTCTTGATATTTGCTAACAATGAGCACTTAAGGAACACTTATTGACAATTTGTATCTAAATTTGTAGATTATGAGAATATGCAGACACATACGCACTCGCGTAGGACTCACCAGCGGTGTAGTTACATATGGATCTCATTTGGCAACCCACATGGCTCTCGGTCTCCTTTTTTTGGGTGGTGGAAGATATACACTTTCTAACAGCCCGAATTCAGTGGCGGCTCTGATAATTTCGCTTTTCCCAAAATTTCCAACTCATAGCAATGATAATAGGTTTGTGAATGTTGTTCTTATAATGAATGTTCCTTTAATTCTTTTAAAAAAGAAAAAATTGTGTGAATAAAAATTATTTTTATCACAATAAAAAAGTTTTAAAAAAGCTTTCTTTTCACACTTTTTAGATGATAATACTCTAAAATCTTTTGTATCTAAGCAGTGTTATTATTTCAATAGGTATCATTTACAAGCTTTACGTCATTTATACGTATTAGCAGCTGAACCACGTATTATCTTACCAAGAGACATAGATACTGGACAGTATTGTTACGCGACAATACATTTAACGTTCGAAACTAACAAAGAAGCTGAAGGACAAGAGATCAGTTTACAAGCACCCTGTTTATTACCGCAGTTATGTAGCTTGAAGAAGATTGAATTAAAAGATTCGAGATACTGGAAAATTACATTTTTAAAACATCACAACTGGCAGCAATTAGAAAACATGCTAGAAAGACATGATTTCTTAAGCATCAAACAGAGAGCTGGTTGTTTATCGTACTTGGAAGATCCTCACGTAAATTATTATTATTATTTAAAGAAATAGCTTAAAGATTATTCATTAGTTGTATACATATTAAACGTATTATAGGTATCTTTACAAATGTTATTGATGAGTATTTTATTTCAATTAGGGTTTTAGAAGCTTAGTGGCCCAAACTCTGACAACGGAAAATGCAATTGCATGGGCTGCGCGGCCAGAATATGTTACATCATTTACAAATGATAAAACTGTATTGAATGTAGTGACGTCTTTTTTGCAATGGTCAAAAAATGGAATGATTTGTTCAGAAAGTATTAAGAATTTGTCGCAAAATGGTACAATTTGATTAATATACGCTTTTAATATACACTTAACTCAAGATTAGTAGAGATCTATAATATATTTTATATAATTTTTTTATAAATTATACGAGATTTTTTTTATATAAAAAGGCATTATATTACGATTATTTTATATGAAAAGAGATTATATTTATGACTATTTAATTTACAAATTAAGAGAATCATATAAGATATCTTTTCAAATAGTTCTCATCTATATTGATACATCTCCTTTTTCTATATTAACTCTCTTATTTTTCTCGTTTGTACGTTTTGTAAAATAACTTTTTCGAATAATAACTTTAAATTTACAGATGTACAATGCAAAATGCCAGAATTTGAACAGTATTTCCTTCACATGTTTGCAATAATTGTGTATGAATGCATTACAAAAGATAAAGTAAGTCTTATACCATTATGGCTGCATATAATTAGAAGTATAAAAATCATTGAGGAGCAACCAAACAGCTTTGCGATATGGCAAATAAAGCTTCTTTTGTCACAAATGTCGAGGAAAAGCAACTTCACAGATAATGAAAATCCATTACTCAGCATAGAAAGTATGCTCGCAATTAAACAGAAAACGTCGATTATTCTGGATAAATGGGAGCACGGTATTTATTAAAGCATGGCATTAATTTAAATTAACAATTAGTCAATAATTTATTGTTAATTTTGTTATATTTAACTTTTTTTTTTTTCAGATATAAAATCTGTGTTTAAAGAATATCTTACAACTGGAAAAGTACAATTCTCTGATACTACATCTCTAGCTAAAATGTGTGCATATTTTATATTCTATGGTATACCATATCCAATCGACAAATCAATTTGTAAGTTTCCACAAATACGTAAATGTTTTTCGTACTTGATAAGGATATCATTCACTTTCCATATTTATTTTTAGTGAATTCAATTACGACGGCACAGAGCTCTTCTAATATACCGAATATTACACTGTATAAATTGCACAAAATTTTACAAACAAGTTGAAGGTAAAATCTTTATATAATACATGTACAATAAAATATTAAAAATGATTGATTATATAAATGAATATTAATTTTTCTTTTCATTAAAGTCATGATGTTTTTACTTACATTGTAAACTAAAAACATTATTCTACAATCAATATGTGGCTACATGAAATAATCTGTAATTTTTTTTGTTGCATTTAATGTTTAATAAAATTTATAAATTTGCATAACAATACCTACATACATAGTAAAAATCTAAAAATAAATATATCTTAAAAATCTTATAAATAAAATAATAATTAAAAAGGATAAATTGAGAAATAACTCATATAGGATGAAATGTTACTATTTTAAAGTTTGAATTTAGTGGCCGGTAATAAGAAAAAATATACAAATATAGGCATTTAGATTTTATTTTAAATAAATCATAATTACAAAAAAGATCACTATTCATTTATAAAAATACTTGTAATCAGCAATATATATTAAATTATTATTCAGGATCACAGAAGTCTTACAAATAAATTCTCATCTCTCTAGTTGTATTCCATCGAATTATTTGTATAATTTTTTTATATAATTCGATTTAATGTATATATACATTTATTAAGTTATATTAGAGATTAAGTTATATTACACAAATATGTTGAATTGATGAAAATTACAAAATGTTACGTAAATAGCCTGTTTCGTCTTCTATAAAATTGTTCTTCGTGTATAATAGGTGTACCAGTTATCATATGTATCAAGTTGTCGATCCTTTCTCCAACAAAAGAATAAGAATATAAGCATCCAACTAAAATACCACCCAGATGACCGATAAAGGAAGAATTTGGGACCAACAAGTGTATCAATATTAACTCGAGCCAAACCGCTAGTTTACTTGGTACTATTAATCCACTGATATTGTGTAATTTGTCGCGTTCTTCGCACAGCGCAATGATTTTCAGTGCAAATAATGTGGCAGAAAAACCGATAGCACAAGCCGTGAAATATCCGTAATCGCCTGTTAATTGCATCAGAATGTATCCTAGGAATACATACATAGCGCTACATCCGATAGACAATACACCCAGTAAAAGTACAAAATTCATCGTTCCGTAGATGGGCTCCAAGTAAGAACCTTTCAGAATAAAAGAAAGCATGTTGTAGTACAGATGCATGTCGGATCCATGTTCGAAATTTGAAAGGAAGAACGATTGCCAGTTTTTGTACTTAATTATTTTAATAGCCGATATGCATACATCTTCCGCGTTCCATGGCACTCGTATTAGGCCCATATACAGTAAAGTCTAGAAAGAAAAAAATATATTTATACTCTATTTATAGAAATATATTTATACTCTAAGAATGATGCTCATAAAAACTTGTAAAGCTAAAAACTGTATAGCAATCGATTAGAAAGATTAATTCAATTTTATCAAAGTGAGTAAACTGTGTTAATTCTAAAGAGATTGACTCAAAATAGAGCAAAACCAAATTATTAAAACAAAATTATATCAAATTTTTGGTAAAGATTACCTGTGCAATGATTCCAATTAGAGTAGCAGGTGGTATTTTATCAAGTCCAAAGTTCAGAGCCTGCATACACAGCAAGAATATGCCATTCTGCAGGCCTTGCTGCCGTCTTTGGCGCATCATGATGCAGGATATGATGTAATATATTGTTCGATGAGAAAAATCAATTTCAAAATGCCGAAAACAAATTTTCACATCTCTACAGGATTGTCCTGTGAGTAAATTTTAGATATCCATATTTTTTTATCAATATGGATAAATATGTGATGTTAAGTTTCAACTGAATTCAACTGAAGTTTCATCGAATTCTCAAGTTTCACTGAATCTGCACTTGCTTGATGTTTTGCGTTTATAAAAAAAAAGTCTGAACAATCAAAATATCCACTTGATGCTGTAAAAAGAATAGTGAAATTAAAAGCGATTTTTAAAAGAGATTATACTGTAAGTATTCATACTTCAATTCTATATTTAAGATCATCTAATTGAATTTGATCTTAAGTGATTTGAAATTTCTGCTTTTAATTAACAAAATAATTCATTAAAATCTAAAGATCGTATTTAAGTGATCTTAAATATAAATATTAAATCGAAATATTAAATCGGACTACAAATACCACTACAAGATTACATTTTAAGATTAGAAATCTGTATGATAGAATAAAATTAACGGAGAATTCTTGAATAATTTATATCAATGTACGAAAAAATAATCTCTAGCATTGCAATTTGTTATATTATTTTGAAAAGCTTCGTAACAAATTTGTTCATATAAATAATTATCCAATCAAATGGACGCAGAACATATCGATTACATTGCAATATCGCGCGCAATTCGTACGTACTGCTGCTATTTGTTCAATAGATAAAACAGATTTTTTAACCTACAAAAACCTTCAACGTTCTAATTTCATTTGTATCTCAGGTCCACGGCTGTCACTTCTGTATTTCCCTCAAGAAGACACCTGGTTACAACAAGTTTCTAAATCGAGAAAATAAAATTTCCCAGCTGTTGGTTGATCAGAATCACTGTAATCAATATAGAAAACAAAAACGAAACTGAATGAAATGATTAGAACCGAATGTGACATCGATGACATGAAATTTTGAAAGATGATGTAGTGCATGCTGATTGGCTGGATGGTTGCATCATGTCGATGTTTCTCCTTTCTATTCGATATATTGCGCGATTGGGGGTAGACGTGCAGCGAGGTATCGAAGTCGAAATCTCGATCGAAATACCACATGCCACTGAACTACATATATATGATGCTCTGGGAGTTGGATACATGTTGTCGACCGTGTAGAAGAGCACCTCTATCTGAAAGAGCATCTTCCACGCGTCTGTATCCGAGAAGATAAGGACTTATTATAAACATACGATGCGCGATCACTTTTTCTTATCATAAAGATAAGATAATCTGATCTTTCAAAAGGACGATACAAGTCGAGTGTTTGCGATATTAATAGATAACGTGGCACCCGTAATTTCCCTTTTGGTTCTCTCTGGAAAATAATAGGGATCCTTATTACTTTCCATTGTGACAAATGCGTCGATAGAGTGACGCTAGTGTTTGAACAATATTTCACAAGGTAAGGAACAAGCTTTTTTATGATTGTTTTATTTTGTACATCAGACAACAGTGTTTAGAAAACATCCTTATGATGTCTTTTAGGTATCTTTTAAGCTTGGTTGCAATATAAGATTAATTTTAATTTTGGTTCAGTTTCTTCTTTATCTTCTTCTAATTCTAAGATAAATAATAAGTTAAACTGAGATTGAAATTGATCTTATATTATTGGGTTTTATACTTGTTATTCTACCAATGTAGATTAACTTTAATATCGGTTCAATTTGCTAATCATTTTTTTCTAATTTTTAGAACTTGAAAAAACTGAAGATTTAGTTGATTCAGAAGATTAAAATTAAACTACGTTGGTAGAAACAGACATTTATATCAATGTAAATTAATTGTATATAATCTTGGTTTAACTTATTCTTTATTCTTTTCTAATTCTTAGAATTAGAAAAAGTAAATTAAATCAAGATTAAAGTTCATCTACATTGATAGAAATATTTGATATGTATGTTTCAAGAGATGTATGATATCTTTTAAACATGTATATATTATCTAAGATATCACTAAAGATATAATAGTTCTCCACGAGATGTCCTAAGGACATCTCGTGGAGAACTATTATATACGTAGAACATCTTCAGGATGGCTTTAGGACATCCCTTGGAGAATTGTGTTGTATGAATGAAATTGAATTCAGAAATAACAAAATATTCTTTGTGGCACAAGATGGTAAAAAAGGACGGGCTTTGGAAGCTGATGCAGCTTCGAGCGCTGATGAAGAATGTTCAACCTAGTGGATGGTCTCTCATTCGAAAAAAAGGTATCCAGGCTCTGATTGTCACTGGAGAGGATGCACATCAATCAGAATATTCGACGGAGCGAGATCAGAGGCGATGTTTTATCAGCGGATTCCGTGGTTCCTACGGGACGGTAGTCATATTGCACGATGCAGCATTGCTGTGGACTGATGGAAGATATTACCAACAAGCTATGTCGGAGTTAGATCCGCCAGAGGCATGGACTCTGATGAGGGAAGGTTTATTGGATACACCTACTATCACTGCGTGGCTCGCTGCGAATTTACCATCAAAATCCGTAGTCGGAGCCGATGCTAATCTAATAAGTTTCACGGAATGGACACGATTGCAGAACAGTTTAATCGATGCCGGTCACGATTTGATTCCACTTTCTGAGAACTTGGTGGATAAAGTATGGGGTGACGATCAGCCAGCACCAACAGCCAACATAGTTTTGCCACAATTGTTACGATATTCGGGTCGAAGTGCAGGAGACAAAGTAAAAGCATGTCGCGATGCTATGCGAGAGAATGGCACGACGATACTTGTAGTGACTGCATTGGATGCAATTGCGTATCTACTAAATTGGAGGGGATCTGATATACCTTTCAATCCTGTCTTCTTTGCATATGTCATTCTCACTCTGAAAGATGTACATATCTTTATAGATAGAAGTAGGCTTAGCCAGGAAGCATTGGAACAACTGAAGAACGAGGGTGTCGATCCAATCTTTCATGCCTACGAGGATATACATGTTTATATGAAATCATTCGTACAATCGTGTTCATTTGAGAAAGATAAAATGTGGATCAGCAATAAATCCAGCTTTGCGCTACACCCGGATGTTGCAACTATTCAAAAACATACGGATATTACACCTATTAGCGTTATGAAATCGATAAAGAATGCTACCGAAATAATTGGAATGAAAGCGGCGCATGTGAGAGATTCTGTCGCTCTTGTAAAATATTTTGCTTGGCTAGAAGATAAAATCAAGAATACGAACGAATTGATTACGGAAATTTCAGGTGCGACGCGGCTGGAACAGTTTAGACAGTAAGTCGATTATGTATATTTTATAAAGCAACTCATTTTTTACAATGTAAAATGTAGATAATGTAGATACAAGAAATTAATTTTTTTTCTAAGGGAACAAGCTTATTTTGTCGGATTAAGCTTTACCACTATATCGTCTGTCGGTCCTCATGGAGCAGTTATTCATTATGCACCTACAGCAGAGACTGATGTGCCTATTACAGATAAAGAACTTTATCTCTGTGATTCTGGTGCACAGTATCATGATGGTACGACAGATGTAACGAGAACGTTACATTTTGGTGAACCCACAAGTTTCGAACGTGAATGTTTCACTAGAGTTTTTAAAGGACAATGCCGGCTATCGACAATGATATTCCCCTTGAAAACAAAAGGAAATTATCTTGATACACTGGCGCGTGAAAGTTTATGGGGCGTTGGGTACGAAGATTTTTAAAATGTGATGAGAAAACATATTTTATGCAAAAAAATTCAACTCTTTATATCTAACTATGAATTAATTTTAGTCTCGATTATCTTCACGGTACTGGCCACGGAGTAGGATCTTATCTCAATGTCCATGAAGAGCCGATTGGTATCTCATGGAAGCCGCATCCGGATGATCCAGGTTTACAATCAGGAATGTTCTTATCAAACGGTATGATAAAAACATAAATAAATCGTAATCGTTTACGCAATCGAAAATAATAAAAAAAAAACATATTTTCAAAACAGAGCCAGGATATTACGAAGACGGTAAGTTTGGTGTCAGATTAGAGAATGTTGAGTTAGTTGTTCCTGCAAAGACACCTTACAATCATAAAAACCGAGGTTTTTTGACATTTGAAACCATGACACTTGTCCCTATTCAAACGAGTTTACTCGATGTATCAATGCTTTCTGACAAAGAGGTATGCGCATTCTCAAATATTTCTCATTTTATTTAAAAATATTTCAATTATGTTTCATGACCTATCTTATTCCAGATCGAATATTTGAATAATTATCATGTAAAATGTTTGGAAGTTTTAAAACCTTTGCTACAAGGACCGGAGAACATTCAAGCACTTAAGTGGCTTGAGAAACAAACCCTTCCTATTTCTCGCCCTAACTGTAATTTAGCACGATGAATTGTAAAAAAAGTCTTTTGAGAGTAACATAACGAGATTGATTTAAACCAATATTACAACGAGGCAGCAAATATTCAATTGGCATAAAAGTCATATAATTTTGTGTACATGGATGGCTGTGCAGTATTATAATCCACCCATGTACACACAATTACTTAAATCGACTATACGTGAGTAAATAAACAACGAACGAATAGCAAAAATGAATATTTTATTTAAGACTCTTTGGATTATATTTAAAACATTGTACTGTTTTATAAGTCAAATTGCAAAGTGAATCAAATTCTAATAATCATTCCATTTGCATTTACTATGACGTAAATATCTAAATAAATATAGAAAATATATTTGTACACATTGTTCGTTTTTTATTCATTCACCAGATAACTATCACCTTGAGAGAAAAAGAAACAAACCCTTATCATGGACGCAATCCATTTAATGTTCTCAACGCCCGCATGCATCATTTCATTCTTGTTTAGCATTTGATAAATAAAAAAAATGAAATGATATTTGCAAACATTATGAATGTTAAATGGGACGCACTCCACGTTGATCGTACGATGTTCAATGTATCAAAATGAATCAAATGTTATACAGTTTATTCATATATTTTATATATATATATATATATATAATACAAAAACATGTTATTTTAATAACAGATATATGGATCTAATGATATTATAAGCCACTAACTACGTCACAATTTCATCTCGATATATACACTAAAACTATGAGACATACATTTTTTAATTCCTATTCTTTCTATTCTTTCGGCACATGTTATTTATTTTATGTCGAAGCTGTGTTATATATAATCAAATAAGAAGATAAATACAAAAGAAAATATTTACTTTTTTAATTTCAACTGCATTTAAAAGTTGACGAGTTTAGGTTGTTCAAAATACGCGCGTACATACACTCAGCGTCATTAATTTCCGAATTAGTTCTTTTTTATTGAATACTTCTAAATATAAAATTTAGAAAATTATGTTATACAGAATTAAATTGAGCAATACAAACACAGATTTAGTATTTTAATTGACAATTATAGTAAATCTAATTCGAAATGGAAATACAATGTTATACTGAACCGCCATCTCTATGCGACTTACATGAAGCCATTTTCAGATCTGAGAATCGAACGTATCTAGTTATTTCTGTTTCTGGTTTAGAACGGACATGTATGAGACCAATATTATATTTGTCCGTTTTCGTCATACGCCAAATTTTTTTACGTCTATTAGCTGTAGGATAGAGAGATTCGAGTACTTCTCTATCCTACAGTCAATTAATACGCTTGAAAAATTTATTATAACAAATGTAATATCAGTTTAAAGCTTATTGGAACTAACAATTAAAGCTCTGGCATTTGAAACAAATTAGATCATAAAATTAAACGTATCTCAAAATCATTTTTTTTTTTTTCGAGAAGTATTTCGAAAAAAATATCGAGAAAAATATCAAAAGCGCTTGAATTTTCAAAGCGCTTGAAATATTATAATACTTTTGCTTGAAATACAATACATGTATTTTGATATTTTGTGTATTTTCTATCCGATCAAAATTAACATGTCCAATAATTCCCAAATATAAACGTACGAAGTTTGATAAAGAATCTTTGCTCTCTTTTTACTGAACATTTTACGCGTAAAATATATGTATCCATCAAATAATTGCGATATCTGATGAATATTTTCGTATTACAACATATTTATCAAATATGAATTATACGTGAGTAGATAATCCATCGCCGCTGATAGATATCGCATAATTTACATGGCGGAAGTAATCCTGTATGGGAGATGTTGAAAACTGCGGAATTGGTTTTTAAATGCATACAATTACATTTAAAATTATTTAAAAGTTATTTAATTAAGATTCATATCCAGGCTAAGGAATATTTTTTGTAAAAAATTATTATTTAGGTTTTTAAGATGATTATTAGTTTCATTATTAAAATTATTAAAAATTATTAAAATTATTAAAAAGATGATTAATCTAATTTGAGATTTACATTAATTTCAGCTTCAGTTTGCAATTACAATTTGTCTCAAATCCAACGAACCTTATCGGCGCGCAGTTTATAAAATTGAAATAATGTATTTGCAAAATTTGCATTTAGTATTAGTAAACACTAATATTCGCTATAACCAAAAATAGAGTTATTTCTACTAATTGTTATATTATTAAAAATTTTATAATTGAAATTTATATTTAAATATATAAAATGGCTTTTGCCTTTTTCGCGATACTCTTATTGTTATAAAATACTTTGTTTGAAATTGACGAATGTTGATTTGATACTGACGTCCGCATTTTATAATATATTCTACGGTTATTTCTATGCTCTCGCAAGATGCCGTGTGTAAATAACGTGTTTTTAAATACCTTTAATATTTATAGAAGATGCACCTGTGGAATGTGTATTAGATATTATCTGTACGGCGAAATATAAATATTTCTCCATACAGAAATGTTTCGATCAGCAGACTACATAAGAATTGAACTTAAATGGAAATTAAACGATATAATATTTTTATTAAATAATTTTATCAACGGATTTTCGATATATAAATATATTCTTTGAGATTAGATTAATTTATACATGTAATTAACCAATATTCTTTGTAACCATGTAAAGCGATTGATTATAGCCATTATTATCTTAACTTTTTATAATATAATTACGACGAGAGGGAAGGAATAATTTCTCGCGAGCTAGGGATGATGGGGAAAACGATTAGGAGAGCAGGACAGTTTCAATGCGTTCTGATTGAAAAACTTAGTTTTCCATGTACCTTGCATTTGTTGTAATAAAAAAAAATAAAGATCGAAACAGTTTTTATACGACAAGATTTGCTTAATAATAGCATGAACACCTAACTTTGACTCATAGCCTTTTTTTGAAAAAAATTGGAGAGGCGTCATGTAATTTTTCTTATTTTAACACGAGAGCACAAAGAATGCAAAATTATGCCATCTGAAAAATAAATGAAATAAAATTTAAGCAGTAAAATTATAATTTATTAAAAAATATTTTCTTTATAATAAAAATGAATATTTTTATGAAAAATATTGAAGAAAAATTGTTTATAGTAATGATTTAAATTTAGATATTGACAGTTCTAGAACTGATTAATGTTTTCACTAGTGTGACGTTGTATTTAAATAAAAAAAACTGACATTTCATACTCTTATAATGAAAATGGTATGGTAAAATTTCATTTTTTTAAGTTCCAAAATGTTCTTTAAATTCATTCTTTTAATTTCATTCTTTAATATCCATATTAATATCCATATTAACTTTTCAAAATTTTAATATTTTATTTACAATTAAATTACTTAAAACTCTCCTCATAAGAATTCAAGCTATTTTAGAAAATTTAAAGAAAACTATACAGTCAAAAAAATCTGAAAAAATTCAGAATATTATATTAATTACAAATTTATTCTCAATATTTAATTAAATCCTTATGTTATATGAAAAAACTGAAGAACTTCTTTAATTTAATTGTTTATTCAATTGAGCCTAGTATTATCAAATTAATTTAAATAAAAAAAAAAATAAAATTCGTTGCTTAGAATAATATCACTGTTTAATCAGTCAAAATTTCCGTCAATAAGCTATCAAAAATTAAGAAACCTTTGATAATCGGCGCGTCTTTGTAATTTCCGGTGGGAAACGCGTCGTGGACGAATAGTAATGAAGAGTAAGTGAAAAAAAAAATAATGAGAAAAAATTAAAAAGTCACAGATGAAGCTACCGTCATTGACAAGTGTGGGAATTGCATTAAGTGAGCCCGCATTACGTTAAATAAGCCTCGCGCATCATTCTATAAATATTGCACGCGATGTGTAAACTCGCATCAATCGATTACCGGCAAGGGCTTTCGCGAACGCCTGTCGGCACCCTCTTTCTCTATCTCGCCGACGTAACAATAACCGTGCGGCACCGTAATTCTGAAAATAGCGACGGCAAGAGGTGAGCTGACGCTATTTCGAGTCGCGTGTCAAAACACATCGCGATACGCGATGCGTTTTCAGGGGCTGCCGGTTTGCGTTCCAGCACGAGAGTAGGTATAGTCCAATCGAAAGGTGAACCGTCGTGCGTCGCGTACGTATCAGCATGCATAGCGTATTCTGACGCGCCCGTATGTACGTCTGTATGCGTGCGTTTAGTCCGCTTCTATATATAGACTTGAATCCCTGCGTATCTCAGTGTCAGGGTGAATGACGGGAGGGTGGAAGGGTGATAGAGTTGCAGGCAGGGTCGCCAGGACGCTCTCCCCAGTGTCATCCCCGACGGTCAAGGGCAGTGGCGTCGCGTGACGTCATGCGACGCTGCAGTGACGCAACTAGTCGCCAAGGGCAACCCACGGTTATGGTCGCTTGGCAACCCCTTTTCGCCCTACTGCTGCCGTTCGAGTCGCGGCTGCCGAGTGCCATACTCCCTCCCACCCTCTTATCCCACCTCATATCGCAGCCGCACTCTCTATCTCGCGTACACGTGCCGTTGCTCAATGAACTCTCCCCGCCGTCTCTCCCTTTCTCTCTCTCGCTTTCTCTCTCTCTCTCTCTCTCTCTCTCTCTCACACTCTCTCACTCTTTTTCTCCTACTTCCCCGCCGTGCCGTTCCGTTCGCCGTGACGTGACCCTAACCCCTAGCAGGGCCTTCGCGGATGCTGCGAGCTGCGACGCAACTCGGAGTAACGACACCCCGGCCGGTTTTACCCTTCTCTTTTCCCTCGCCGCTCACTATCAGGATTTTTCGTTTTAATATCAATATCACACGCTAATTCTGAAAAATATCATAGAACCCGACCGATCCGTAATACCGAGAATTATATTACTCCTGTCCCGAAATCGTGGTGTAAAATCGTGCAATGCTACCCCATACTTTGCTATTTAACGAATAATCGATGGAATTGTTTCAATTCCAGATATCAGAGAATATTCTGGAAAGTTCCAATCTTTGCTCATCCTGCAGGACAACAGGTGTTTAGACGTCAAATCGAAGGAAAGATTTTGTTATTATTAAAATACCTGACGATTTATATTTATTTGATTTATATTTATCTGAATGTCGATCATGATTGAAAGTCCGATTTATCCGCGACGAAAAATAAAAATCTTTGCGTTAGCTTTTACATTTCGTTCTACAAAAAAAAGATTTTACTGAGAAGAAAAGATGATAAAAGAAGACAATAAAAAAATAGTGAAACTGTCCCAA